TCGTAGGTTGCCAATTCCTTTTATTAGACGAATAGCTTTAATTGACAGTTGACAGGATAATGCTCACAACGTGACTTCACCGTTGACGTGGGAGAAGGCTTAATCAACCAACGGCGATTTCCAATTATGTCGACTTTGGTATGTCTTGCCGTTCTCAGTTGAGATGCCCTTTAACCCATAACGAGGTTATCACTGGGAACATCGTGCATGGAGGTGTTGCTTAGTCCTGAAGCTATTTAACTGATAACATTACTGTGGGAATGACCTAGCGGTTGACGAGGAAGGGCAGCTGGAGTACAACGGGGCAATGATCGACATGGCGAATTGCACGTTGGAGTCCTTTGAGACGATAGATTATTAATGCTTGGTGAGTATTTTTTTAGTAATAACAGGTTTATTACAATATTATTTATAATGTATACTACGACGTAGTTAAGAGATGTTGTTAGAGAAGCTGTTTATGAAGGTTACAGGAAAAATTCTAATCCACAAATAACCTAACGGTGTGCATTATGAAGGCAAGAAAGACTATATGAGTGCAGGAATGGCGCCGCATGTGTTGCTGGGCTGTGAAATGCAGGCTGAACTTGGCCACCTTGGCCAAGTGTTTGGGGTTGCGACCGACTGCTCCCCATGGAACTTTCTGCGTAGCTTGAACGACAAGATCGAATGTGACGAGTGTAGTTTGTGTGTTGGGCCAACTGCACCCGACTTGGCTTCACTTAGGATGATTGCAGGCAAGATATACGCTAGTACTAGTATTGTCCTTCTCACGCAAATTTGAACTGTTTACAGTCCAAAAGTGAAACTGTTATTGAATGAACTTGGCAATATCTCTTGTATGCACTAAGTAAGTGAGTTCAATATCTGCAACGTATTGATTGGCTGAACCATTCAGAAATCTTGTAAAGGGATGGATTTTGAATGGCTAGTTCATTCTCAAATCGATTTGCCAAGTCTATTCGATTCTACTGGCGACTCCAATTACGAGCGGACTTGACAATAACATATTGGTTTGTTTCTGGTAGAGCATTGCAAACGAGGTTTATTTTGGAATAACGTTATCGATAGTGCAAGTTACGTCGTCAGTTGGCATTGAACAACTACGTGTGGCAACTATATGTTGTGTGCATCGACAATCGACAGGTCACCCAGATCTAAATCTAGAACCTACCTGTCTTAACTACCGGTCAACCAGTCATACGAATTACGACGTACCCCGGAGTAGTACCTTAGTATACCTCAGAGCGATATCATGAATAATGTATCTATTAGCTAGTGTGTCGGTCCAGCTTTTTCTTTGATTTATTCTCCGGTCAAAGTTCTATCCGAATGTTATACGCATGAAAAACGAATGAACAACACTATTCCGACAAAACTCCAAAGTTGTTGATTTCGCATTTATATTCGCTCGTCCAATACTATTAATTAGACGTCGATGGGTTTCGGATGCACTTCGAGCACATTGCCTTTGTTCAAGTCGGCCAATCGGTACGGTCCATACTCCACTCGAATCAGTCGCTTCAATACCAGTCGAACATGGGCCATCGCATTGCGAATTTCCCGATTCTATGAATAAAAAAAGTATCCTTTGAAACACAATACAATATCCTTTGAAACAACAAAGTAACCAACTAAAAAATATCATTTTTGACAAAAAAAAGTATTATTATTTCAAGTGTAAAAAATATCTTTTCCAACAAAAAACGTATCATGTCAAGTTTTAATACTACCATTTTAACAACTAAAAAATATCATTTCAATCTCAAACTAACACTATCGTTTCCAACAAAAACACAACGTATCCAACTAACGGTATAATATATATATATATATATATATATATATGGCACGACAAACCAGATGCATGTCCACAATATATTGCAAAATCTTTTCCGTACTTTGCCCTCGGTCAACTTGACCTGGAGCCACGTTTCTTTGTCTTTGGTCGTGGATTCGATCTTGACGGCCATTGGCCGATACTTGACCCCGTCGACCAACGCCCCACGGCGCAGTTCGTCCAGTTTCGATGGCAGCACCTATTAGTACATTTCAGCTACTACTAGTATTACTAGTAAGCCAGACCTGGCCCCACACCAGCACACGGTACACGCGTTGCACAGCGTGCTTGGGATGCTCCAAATATCGCGCGTAGTCGCCGTCGTTGGTGAGAACCAAGAGGCCTTCTGTATTGAAATCCAATCGGCCCTAACGACCCAAACGGGTTAAAGTATACACGTTAAAGTACACAGGTTGGAGTGTAGTTGAACAGCGCCGCACCACGGCCATCAAATGGGATTCCACGCCCATCGCCTTGATGCGTTGCAAGATGGTCGGCCGCCCACGGGGGTCGCTCGAGGTCACTAATTCCTACCAATCAAAAGCTGTCAACAAATCCATCGTCACATGTGAATAACAAAACGTGGTCAATGAAATGTACCCCGGCCAACTTGTGCGCAATCCACACGCGGCGCTTGGATGGGCGGGCGGCCAGCGTCTTGTGATCCACCGTCACCACGTCGTCGAAGGTGACGTTCACGGCCACTTGGTTGACCTTGGCACCGTTCACCACGACTCGGCCTTCGAGGATGATCTTTTCCGCTTCGCGGCGGGAACTGACGCCAGCCATGGCCAGCCGCTTCGCCAAACGCATTGGTGTCGAGGACCTGTCGTCCACAGCGCCAACGTTTGCGTTCTTGGTGATGGCGACCGACGGAAGTCCTTTGGACAAGCTCGTCTGACACTGCACGTGAGTCCACGTCGTCCAGGGAATATCGTACTCGTACCTTGCCCGGAGGCGACGATAGCTTAACAGGTTGCTTGAAGTGGCGCTTCGTCTTGGCTGTGATTTCCTCAGGAGTCAGCCGGGAGCTCTTGATAGAGATGCATCGCCGGAAAACTTGCGCCAACATCATGTTCAAGGATCGACTGGTGTGATCAATCGATGAAGATGATCCGGATGATTTGAAACAAATATCCGGAAATCACTCAAGTCAAAAGCATCAAACAAATACTTCGAAGTATTAATATTACTTCGAAGTACTACGTAACGTTAGTACTGTTTTGTCAACTTCGAAATTGGAGTGGGGTATGAGCAGTACCAAATCGGCAGAGAATCGATCGACCAATGAAAACCCAGAGCACTAATCAAGTAGCCAATCAAATCCACTATTCATCGAAATAGTGTGTGACTTCAATTAGTGTGAAACTGGACGATCTTTTCATACAAAAGTCAGAACAAAGAATCGATCGATAGATTTGGCGAATCAGCACAAAAGTTAACCAAATTTTGGGCAAAAGGACAATAACCGTTGGAGTTGCTTCATCGGTAGTCGCTTCTGTCATGGGACATCCACGGTACTAACGTTACTCGAAATGTGACAGAATGTAGCCCAACTGTCTGGTGGCGTTGTGATGAAAACGAACTGTGTACGTATTACTGCGAATTCGCTATTTACTTCCAAAACACGCGTGGTTTTCTATTGAATAATGAATCACGGCTAGAACTTCTGATTGGCTGAATATGCTTGTTGTTGCTGTAAGCGGCACTCAAAATTGAATTAGCGAATAATAGCGTCGATTCAAAATAGGATAAGCAAATAATACTTCAATAATGTTCGAAAGATTATCGATATCGTCGTATTTTCACGGCTTCGGGCCGATTCGTACCTGGTAATTGCGAGATGGGTCTGGAAATTTGTACCGAATGCACAATACTACTGCTTCGAAGTATCAATATTTTATTTAGTACTACGTAGTAATACGGCCAACTGACAGTGACACCTGTAATTGTGCGACTGATCCACTGAAAAATTTAGAGTTCTAAATTCTCAACATAATTTCATTCTTTCCGACGGCCACATCATGCTTTACATGCTTTCTCCTGACAAGTGTATCCACGGAAGTCGTTCGTGGTGTTGATTGATCTTAAAGAGTGTCTCACACATTTGGGCAAATTCACCAATATCCGAAATAATATTTTTGGAGATTCGGTATGAACCTCCCAAAAAAATTATACAATTTCCGCTCAATCGATTCTCACTCCTGGAACTGGACACCAACCTCTCTCATTGGTCACACTCCGAAATTACTTGTCACTGATTGGCTACAATCCATTTGGATTTTCGAATGGAATGGGAGAAGTGGATATTAATTAGCCAATCAGATACGTCTCGGCTCGGTTTGTAAGAAATGGGAAATTTGAAGAAAATCGACAATACTTGAAATATACTAGAAAATCGACAATACTTGAAATATACTTCAAGTATTGTCGATTTTCTTCAAATTTTTCATTTCTTACAAACCGAGCCGAGACGTATCTGATTGGCTAATTAATATCCACTTCGAAGTAGTTTATATAATCGCTCCAACAATGTTTGCGCAATATGATTGGTTAATTCAAGAATGGGGCGTTTTGATTGGGGGTCAAAATTCTGGACGGTGATTGGGCATCGCGTTCCGCTCCACTTGGAGGTGTGATCCCAAGTGGCGGCAAAAACGTCTCGATGAATGTCGGGTACGAGCAGCCGAAGAATGACTTCATGATCATGGGGTACACGGTGGAGTTCCCCGACGGGAAGAAACCGTTCGCTGCGCAGTTCGCCGTGATGAACAAGGTGCTTCTCGCGCTCAAGAAGGAGCAGAACGCGCTCCTTGAGAGCCCGACCGGCTCGGGTAAGACGCTGGCGTTGCTGTGTTCATCGCTGGCGTGGCAGCGCCAGCATGCGACTGAGGTGGCAGGCCGCAACCGGGCGAACGTCGATGCTTTTGTCGCCAGCAAGTTGAGGGAAGCTCAAGCCAAGGCCGCTCGGGACGAGCAAGTGGCGCGTCTGTCCGCCGAGCAAAGGCTGGCGTCGCATGCACTGGGCGATCCCATCCGGCCCGTCAACGTCACCTCCAGTACTGGCGGCGCGAGTCAACCTCTCCGCCCGCCCAACCTGGACCTCCTCGACCAGAGTCAATTGCTGCAGGACACGGATCGGTTGAACTCGGAGCTGATGATGGTTCCCGCGTTCTACAGCGCTGTGGACCGACCTCAGAAGGAGTTTGAATTGGCGTGCATGATTCTACGCGCAGACATGCTGCGAGGTGGCAACGCCAACCGGATCACGCTGCAGTTCCAAGGCTGGCCGCCCAAAACGTACATGCTGGACGACAGCACCGGTCACATCCAGCCCGTTGTTGTGGAGCCAACGACATCTCCTTGCACCGACCAACCCATCAAACCATCTCCCAGTCCTCTCGTCAAAGCCGAGGACAAAGGACACGACGACAATGAGGATGACGATGATCTGATGCCCATGTCATTCTCACAGCTCGAAAAGCAGCCCAAACCCAGTCGTACTCGAGTGACTAGTCAGTCCAAATATGGCGCAAAGTTTCCACCAGAATCCCCTGAGCTAAACATCCTGAAAGGGCTCGTTCAAGGCGATGGAAACGCCAGTCCATTCCTGCCATTCGACTTAGCTGTAGCAGGAGCAGCAGCTGTAGCCCCACCTGGACAAGCCGTAGCCGTAGCCGCACCTGGAGCTGTAGCCGCACCTGGAGCAGCTGTAGCCGTAGCCGCAACCGGAGAAGTTGTAGCCGTAGCCGCACCTGGACAAGCCGTAGCCGTAGCCGTACCTGGAGCACCTGGAGCTGTAGCCGTAGCCGCGCCGATGCCAGCTACGATGGACGCAGTCAAGAAAGAAAAGGTGCCACAGATCTTTTTTTGCTCGCGAACGCATTCCCAACTGGCGCAGGTATGTACACGAGACATATAGTCGTTTAGTACTTTATTTTAAAATATATTTGTTGTATAAGATGTTTGATTGTCTTGCACTTTTATAAATATATGTTTTGAACTATTATATATATGATGGCTCCCCACAAATAGTGTGGTGGTTGGGGGGTTTGAACGATATGTATTTGGTGTTCAGCTAGTTGTAATGGAATATGTATGAACACGTGTTTGGCATATATCTCAAGGCTATAGTAGTTTATGCCTAGTCTCGATAAAATTGAATGCATATTATAATATACTATATATATATATATATATATATATATATATAT